CAGCTGTGGGGTCCTGCTCCCACTGCTTTCCCACTGCTCTCACTGGGGTGTTGCTCCCACCTCCCGCTGCTTCCCAGTACTCCCAGTGCTCCCACTGGGGTGCTGCTCTCAATTATCCCACTTTTCCCACTGATTTCTCACTATTGTCACTATTCCCACCCTTCCCCCCTACTCCCACTGCTCTCTCACTGCTCCCACTGTTTCCATTACTCTCTCACCCTTCCCACTGCTCCCAGTGCTTCCACTGGGGTGCTGCTCCCACTTCTCCCATTTCTCCCACTGGGGTGCTGCTCTCTGTTCTCCCACTTCTCCCACTGCTTTCTCAGTGCTCCCATTTCCATTACTCTCTCAATGTTCCCACTGCTCCCTGTGCTCCCGCTGCTCCCAGTCACTGCATATCTGGAAGGTGTCACTGGAAGGGCTGAGGGGGTGCCTGGCAAGTATTTCCCCCCCAAGGGGGGAGATGGAAGCAGAAATCTGTGTTTGTATTTATTTCTCTGTCTAAAAAAAAAGGGGGGAGGGGGGAAAGGACACCTGAGCTCATAATTTGCAAAAGTTGGATGAGAAACCTGGAAGCCGCCAGGCCCTGCATCTTTAAAAGCAGTTAAATTCCTCTTCTCTGCACTAGGAGGCACCTTGAACCTTCCTCTTGGCCCCGAGCAGAGCCCATCTGCTTCCTATTACCTTCCCATAACGCTGCCTCTGGAGCCGGCCAAGGAGCCGGGCTTTCAGGGAATTCTGTCTGCAGCCCCGATGTTGAAATTAGTAACAGTTGTCATCCGCTTCGCTCTTTCTTCTCTTTTTGCTTTATCCCAGCTCGGATTTTAACCCCCCTCCCAGCCCCTTCCTTCCCGTGTGTTTTTGGGGTGGGAAGAGGAGACATCGATGGCTCCGGCGGCATCATTCCCAAAGTCCCTCATCCCGCCCGGGCCCGGCCCACGGGTTCACGCGGCGAAAGCCACCTTGGCACAGGGATCCGGGAGCGTCAGCCGCTCCCGCTGTGCCTGCCAAGGACAACGAATTCCTTGGGAAGGAGCGGATCGGAAGCGGCCCAAGCGAGGGAGGCACGAGACCGGAGAGGTCACGCCGTGCCCGGGGACCTGCCCGCGGCCCCTCCATCCCCCCGTGTCCTGCTGGGCCCTCCCGGCTGGTCTGGGCTCCTCGGCATTGTCCGGTGGCTGCAAAGTGAGGTTATGGAAAACTTGAAACGCGTGGAAGCGGCCGCAGAGTCTCCAGCTCTGTCCTCCTTGCTCCGGGTGCTTCTCCTGCGGGACATGGGCCACCGGGGTCTCGGCAGGGAAGCGCCGCTGGGAAGGGGCCACGTTTTCCCTGCTGTGTGCGGGGAGGAATCGCAGCCGGGCCCTTCCCCCAGCCCGGCTCGCAGGAATTTTGCAGCTGTAATTCCTGACTTGCGCTGCTCCTTCCCCCCAAGGTCAAGGCTGCGGGGTCTTGGCGCCTGCGGCTCCCTCCCGGCTCCTGTTCCGGGGGATGCTGAGGAGCCGGGAATGAAGGGGACGGGCAGAGGGGAGGCGAGGGCACCGACCCGGCTCCCACAGCGCAGGGTCGCGGAGGGGCGGAGGAAGGACGGGAAACAACGACAGCCTTGAGGAAGCGGGTTCAACAGCTGGAAAACAAGGAAAGTTAGTAGTGTGAAGCCCGGGAGAAAATACACTTCAGCTGAGCAGCTCTCTGCCCGCCGACCTTGGAGCCGTGACAGGATTTAAAGGCTGGAATCTTGAGCTTTAGTAGATGCTGAAAAATGCTGACTTAGGAGAGGGGTGCAGCACGCCCGGCTTTCCTTTCGCCGTCTCCCTTTTCCAGCTCACTTCCCACAGCCCTGGGGGAGCAGGTGTAGAACACCACCGGCAGCGCTGGGCTGTGCCTTGCTGTGACTCTGCCCTCTATGCCACAGCCTGGGGGTCCTGGTGGGTGCCAGTTGTCCCTGAGTCAGCAGTGCCCTGGCAGCCAGGAGGGACAGCCCTGTCCTGGGGGCATCAGGGAGGGGATTGTCCCGCTCTGCTCTGCCCTGGGGCGGCCTCACCTCAACATTGGGGCAGTTTGGGGGGACACAGTGAAAGGAAGATCTGAAGCCATTCGAGAGTGTCCAAAGGAGGCAACGGAGATGGGGAAGGGCCTTAATTTGAAGCCGTGGGAGGACACTGAGGGCACTTGGTGTGTTCAGCTGGACAAGAGG